AAGATTAAAAGAACACAAGAAGGAAATCTAGAGACTAGTGTCTGTAGGAAACCTAGCCATTCGAATCGCTATTTAGACTTCGAATCATCCCACCCCGTTTCAGTTAAATTAGGTCTAGTTCAGTGCTTAAGTGATAGAGCGAAAAAGCTTACCAGTAGATCGGAAACTCTGCGACAAGAAATTAGACACACCAAGAATACCCTACCCACCAGAATTTATAAATAACTTCATAAGAAATCGAAAGAAAAATATTAGCAGTGGTAGTAGTGCTAATACAAGTGTTATTAATAATAATTCCACTACTAATGGTAATAAGAGAGAATTCAAAGCCTCTGTTATAATACCATACAAGGAAGACACCTCAGAAGCATTACGAAGAATTCTCAATAAGGCTGGGATTAAAGTGGCATTTAAACCAACAAACTTGCTTAGAAACAAGCTTTGTAATGATTTTGAGGTCAAGTATATAGGTCAGAGCAGTCGACCAGGGTCGATTAGAATAAAGAGTACAAAAACTTAGCTAAATCAAGATTAGTAGATCCTAACAGGATAAGAAATCTAGAGAAAAGCTCGCTATAGCTCTGCACGCGACGACACACAATCACACAGTAGGGGGGATAGTGCGACAGTGTTGAAAACTAACTTAGTTGGGTGGAGGGAGAGACTGATAACCGAATCTTTGTTTATCGAATCAACACCAAATACATACAGTCGAAATGATTCTGCACCTGTCCCAGATAAATGGGAAATTCTACTATCCTTGTCATCACAGAGAAGGAAAGAAAATTAGGAACTATATAGTCTGTCTCGAAGTTGTGGAGTTACCTGATATGAATATTGACAATAAATTGTGTCCGAAATGCCATCCGGTAAATGCTACTGTTTCACTGCGTGATATTTCTTATAAACAGACTAAAATGGAATTACAATCGACCAGTGTCCAAGTTTTACTCTTATATTAAAAAAGAGGTTGTATTGGAAAATTCAACAGTGGTTCATATAATTAATTCAAATCAAAGTTATAAATATCCTACAGAAAGTATGGTTTACTGATTGAAAAGTTGGTTTGTCTGATAAACCCTCGTCCTATTTGACTGATATACTCAGGCATAGATAAAAGACAGAAACTAGAATAGTATAATTACCTTCTGTTGAATGAAAAGAAAATGCATACTCCAGCCAATTTCAGTTTACTGATAAAAGTCCAAGTTTTCAATTTTTGGACATCACAGGTAATATGAAATCAGTATTATTTTTTATTTACAACTTTTCACTGGTAAACTTCAGAAAGTATTTTTTTCCTGAATGTTTCGACCAGTTATTGTGTATATAAAACTATAAAGGAATTACTTTACAGAAGCTTTAAGTTGTCAAAAATGCACTTACTTTGATAGGATACTTTTATTCTTCGAATGAATCGAATTAAAGTGCACTGAACAACCCTGTGGTCATTCGTGTAGTAGGGTAATGGGCTATACGTATTGAGTGAAGGCTAATGATACTACTTGACTGTTTAAACCTCGGTAGGTGGAGCGGGGTCCAAGCCTGCAACTCACTGGTAAAAAGTCATCTCCATAAGCCAATAAGCCACAGCTTAGATTGAAGAGGAAAAGAATAAACATTTCCAACTGGGATTATTTAATTTCGACGAGAAAATATGTGAATACATAGAGTACAAAAAGTCGGATGTCCAGAGTTTCAGCATGCTCATAAAATTGGTGCCATTAACGATACTATTTTGTGGAAGTATTTTAGTTGCTTAACAAATTGCAATAAATGACATTAGAAATCCTCATGATTGTAGATGAGCCAGTCATGGCAACTAAGAAGCTTGTGTAAGGCTAAAGGTCATTCTAGCAATCGCTGACATAGTCAATTAGGTTTCTATACTTCAAGTGGGGAGGCACTTTTCTACAAATAAATAAACTCAGTTGCTTAGTTAAGCAGTTGCTAGAGTGGTCTTTTGAGTCACCGCTTAGCTTTCTGTTTACAACCCTAAATATGGGTGATGTGCTTCAAAGCTCTTTCAAATAGTATGATCAATCACCTGTAGGGAATACTGGCAAAAACGATTTGCAGAATGACAAACATTTTGAGACGATGAAGCTAAACAGATAACTCTCCTCAAAGTTAAATTAAATAAAAACTTATGATGTTGAAATTGTCATACTGGGAATACAGATATCACTATTCCAAGATACTTTAATTTCACAAATAGTAGGTCAATTCCAATTTCCCCTGTCAAAAAATACAATAAAACTTTTCCGCATTATAATCCGAGGACAGTGCAATCTTTATGATTTCAACAACTTGTTTTTCATAATATTAATAATAATGGCTTTATTCTGAAAGATATATTGGGAGTACTGTACGGAATTTCCAGCATGTCATATAACATCAACTGGACACAAATAGTGTAATAAGTATGCATAGCAAAAATGAAATATGTATAAATTACACATAGAAAAGAATATTTACTCTACCTACAACTTTCTTGAAAATGCAGAGGTAACTTAGGTAGGACAATAACATTAGCAATTAGATTCATAAAACATAAATAAAATAACATGCTGTGTACTCATCAGTTTGCTTTCGAGAACAGAAGTTGATGAGTCAGTTCATTTGTAATACTCTCTTCATCACACAGGAGTATGTGCATAAAGTCTTATGTAGTTGCTCTTGGTCTTTTCTGATGATTGACAAGCAGAGATCCGAGTGAAGAGGATGTTGGTCACCTGATAAAATAATTCCTGCCAGATGTTTACATGAGTTAGTATGTTAGTCCACAACTGTTTTAACTAGAAGGTTTAGGGGTACACCACTAGTTCTGCTGACGATTTCCAAAGTTCCGCGTAATGTAGCATAGTCTTTTTTCAACAACCAGGGAAAAAATAAAGGGGAACAACAGAGGAGAACAGGCAAGATGCAGGAGCTTATAAAATATAAGAGGAGAGGCTGAGTTATGCCAGATACTCCCAGCTTCTTAATAGAGAAAGTTCGGCGGAAAATTCTTTCCGAAATTAGTAAGGACCAGGAAAGGTCCGAAGAAAAACACATCTAGATAAATCATACCTGTAACATTCTCTAATGCACAACTATCAATGGAACAGGAATCATGGGAACTAAGCAGTTTAAATACGTTATGTTCACGTCGGAAACTGTTTATAGTCTGACATTTTGAATTAAGCACAAGATCATTCGCGGAAGACCATCGTCTAACAGTATCTAGAAAATCATATATATATATATATATATATATATATATATATATATATATATATATTACTGCATTACAGTCGTATAATGAATACATTTTCAAACTGAAATGATACCTTGAATATATTTCTCTAGAATACTGCTTACATAGCGATATCATTACTGTAAGCATACTGCTGGTATTATTGACGTTACTGTCAGTTATTGAGAAACACAGTTTCGTATACTTGTATTTGGTTTCAAGTTGTCAAACTTCACATTAATACGATGACAGAAAATCAACAAAATATGCACCAGAAGAATGGAAATAAGGGATTTAATAGTGGTGAAAAACTAGATTCAGATAAAAGAAACAGTATTCAATGAAATAAAACAAAGAATTAGAAAACTATTAAAACCGAAGGGTAAATAGAGACATGAATGCCGACTTTAATATTTTATGAAATATTTTTAAGATTTAACATTTTTGGATGCTAGGAATCAAACAATTAGACAACCGCAGCTATATGCATGGAAACTTGTCACACTATCCTCATCACGCTCCTGAATATCCTATTATCATGAATTTATTGCTGTCCTGACAGATATCCTAATTCAAGCAAATATAAATGTTGCAACGATGTAGTTCACTGGCTTAAGCACACAAATCTAAAGCAGTGAATCCTACCGCACCTACTTCCACTTGATCAACCGGACTATGTCTCAGGCCATCACACATTCAATGTAGCTCAAGGCCTACTAACTAAACCTGAAAAGCATCACTGAGTTGAACTCTTATGATAGCTTGAGCTAGTGCACTTTTGTGTGAGGTTCCATATTTTTTTTTGTCTAAACATTAGCCCTATATGCAGAGATGGCTTGCCTATAAGTCCGGAAATTTTACACCATTTTGGCATAGTAACTCCTTTCATTATCATTAGGCTCATCGGCTTCTGCACGTTTTTCTGAAAGCAGAACCAATCTTGAGAACTTTAGATCAGTCCTACATGCAAAATAACGTTTCCAAGGTAATGACAATAAAACCACCAACCATTTTATAATGAATCAAGTTTAAGTTCTCAGCAAAAGCCAGTCAAAATCACCTTTATATTCTGCTTTCTTGAGCATTTCCAGATTTTCCTAGCTCTTAAAAAGTGACATGCACCTAAATGGTGATTACTTCCATTCTTAATTGCTGTTGGAAAACGGGTATAACTATTTCCACGCCTCCCTTCGCAAAAAGATGAGGAAAAGATTGCCCGTAGTCATTGAGTGTTTGGACAAATACTTTCTCGACGAACATACACCATTTGAACCTTTGTAAAGCCAAGGTTTAAATGAACCTAAGAGTACAGTATTGACGACTCCTGTACAATGGTCTAAAGGCTGTTTATTGGGTCATTCCTGTGACCTGTTTCTGTTGCGTGTTTACCTATAGAGGATGACATCTGTCTGACCCTATATTTATCGAATTATTTGAATGTAATCATTTTTCTAGCCGTTTCGGGATGTACTTCACCACCCTCGACTTGGTAGTTCGATTACCTCTCCCAATATTAGTGCAACCGCACACATGAAAATTAGTATACACAGAGGGATGTGACATAAACATCTCTGTGGTGATGAGGTTTATTTTAGAGCAAAAGTTCCATTCTCTCTATTTTATTAAGTTTGACTGCATGGTATGTCTTTTAAATAATTGAAATAAGCTGAAATGGATGCTGCTTCATATTTATCCATCCTAACAAGACTTACATCACAAAATATTTAAAAATGGAGACCACCAAATATTGAGTTTGACTCACTGGCAGAAAAGCAAAACTAATCTTCCTACTCCCAGAAAAAGTCGACTCCCAAACTGGGATGAATTAACTGTTGAATACGCCCCATTTTTCAGTTCATCAGTTAATATCTGTCGGTGAAAGTTTCTTCACATTATTCGTATATAATCCGCAGGAAAGAATGGAAGTCATTCTACAAAAATAACCAGATAACTATGATATGGGAACTGACAAAAGTAACTAAGTCGGTAATAATGATTTAAAAAACAGCAATTGGTATCATTTCCAGTAGTACTTTTCCTCAAGATGATACCGAAATATTAGAAAAACCTATCATTATGTGTATGTACATGTTCCCCCCAAATATATTTTCAACAAACTTTTCACCATCTACACTACAATTTGTTGTTCCCATTACACGTAAAATATTTCTATTCTAAGGTTTTACACATACAAGAAATGTTAGTTAGTATATGTCGCTCATCATTCAAATAAACACAAGTCATGAATAACCAATAACGATTTAGAAACTAGCATCTACCAGCCAAAATCCGATCGATGCATCCGTTAATCAGACACGTAAGCAAGGTTGTCATCATACATATTGTCCTGAACCAGTAAGTTTTCCAAACACACTTTTGTACTAAAAACCCGAGAAAAGTGGCCCTGTGTTCAAGTGATATTTCATGCCAAGCTTAATGACTACTACCAAACAGTGGTAGAATGCACAATTCAGTAGACATATCACTTTACAATATCCATTCAACACAGTAAGTACCCATATTCATTTTAGAAAATCCGTGATGAAGTGAACAATGGTCACGACTAAAACTCCTGGACATAACTACAAAATTGAAGGATGTATTCATCACCGTTGAACAAATAGTGTTGAAAATGAGTTATCTAGATTTATCTTTTTAGCTAGAATGACAATCAGAGAAACCAAAGTTAGAATACCATTGCCACTCAATTCCCTCTGAAAGTTAGCGAAGTCGCCAGATTAATTGACATTGTGTGATTATGCAATAAAAATCGATAACATACTTTCTTCTCAATCTCACCACTGAATGTTTTACTTCAAAAAAAGAAGAAATATACAACCCTCAAAATTAGTGATATTAATTGCCACTTCCCACATATCGCATGTATAGGGAAGAGAAAAACATGCATATCAATGCAACAACACATGGGTAACATGAGCGCTTTTCGGTCTTAAAATTTTGCGTAAAGATTCAGTGTGGTATGTGTTTCCAGATGTATATTACAACGATTGTTAATGTGAATAATAAAGACGATAATAAATAAACGTATTTTACTAATATTCACTATAATGCATAGAGCACAAAATCTGTGGAAAACTTACTTGAGAAAAAGCCGACAAATTAAGTTATTTAAGAAATAGCGTTCAGTAGAGATGGTAAATATTGAAAAGAAAATCCTACGAAGTAATAAATTCCTTAGCACTTCAGCTTTGTGATTAAATGAACCAGCTTCCGACAACAGGTACAATATTATCAGCACCTTACGAACTTTACGTCTTTAGTCCCTCGATTATAACTTATGGTAATGCTCACAACTTACAGAAGGGCTAATATCTCGAAAACATGTTAGAACCAAACCAAACCAAACCTATATAGTAGTCCGGTCACTGTTACCTTACCTTTATTCTAATGACTTGTCATGGATCACACATTCTAACTACTTATGCCCAAGATCTAAGAAATCACCAAATGACGAACTCCTCTTGCCTGGAAGTGTGTCCATAGCTTAACTGTTGATTATTTGACAGTCCTAAACACACACTATCAACGCCAAAAAAGAAAGTACGACTAGGTACTCTTGATATAATAGTGTTTTCTAATGTCTACGGTATTGTCAATTTAGGTTGCACAGCAGGAAGGGATAAATTACTATGGTATACGCTTGCTTCTTGATAGATGATCGAATACTTATAAATACGGTAGATAGTGAAAGCCAAAAGATCTTCTATTCACGTCTTGATGACATTAGCGCGTACATATCCACAAGTTTCACTTACACTTCACAAACTCTCGAACCATGGGAGACGTCATTTGCCACTGCTTTTTCCGCTTTGCTTTACTTCTTGTCCCGGTAACCTTAGTCGACTGAGATGGCTTGGACACATTCTGGGCATACCGAGTCACCACCTACCTCGACGGGCCATGCTAAGGGAAGTTGGATTAGGTTGGGAGAGGGTTAAAAGTAGCCACGCCAAGACGTGGCACCAGTCCATGCAGTCTCTTCTTGTTGGTCTGGGCCGTCTTGGGAAATGTACTGTCTAGTTGAGGTTCCCGAGAAAGAAATCAGTGGTTGAGGACTGACTCTTGGTGACATGGCTGGAAATCGGTCACAATGGCGCAGATGTATTAACTCATTGAGATCTACAGTTCAAATATTCTGACTATCCCCCATCTTCAGATTGTTTATTCTCTCACCCTACTTTATCTACGTTGATATGATTCTTTCTCTATTCACCTGTTCCTTATTTATTACTTTGAAGTGTGGTGGCTTGAGCCGATGTACCTGCGTCCGAGGTTCTACGTTTATTTTGTCAGTCAGTCGGGGAATTGCCTAAATTTCAACCAAACAGCTTAACTTTCTGTAAGCATCCAATGAAAGATGAATTAATGGGACCGATAGCACTATATTGCGAACAAAGACTTCGCCAAATACTAAGACATAAAGTAAAACGGTCAGTGACTGCTCATTTCCCTCTACATTCATGTAATAACACGATGTAATTCCTATAAACAAACATGACACCTTTCACCCTACTATAAGCATGTTGTTCCGCCTATTGACATCTATACACCTAAAGTGAATACAGAAATATCTTCCTTGTCCTAATGTACTTTTTTACCTCGGTGATTATATAATTACAGTTAACATTTCTTTGGATGGTGTGCAGACGAAGTTATGCCAAATAACTGAAAGAATGAGAAATAAGACATCGAATAATTAGACACAATTATAAAATGCATTTTGAGGTCAGTGGGAATTTGTTTCTAAGGTAGTATTCTTCATGGACTGACACCAGTGGGAGAACCTTAAAGATGCAGTCTTATAGGTGCATAAGACCATTTCCGAGTAATATACCTTGGAAACGCCGACAACAAACTCTAGAATTCTTTTCTGAACATCAGACCAGTATTTTTATGGGTATCACAAGTAAACACACCAACGGAAAGTACCTTCAAATCGGAAACAAATTAGAGTCTCAAATTTCGACTTATTAATCCCTGAATATCTAAGGTAAGCAACTTAGAATTTAAAACGTTGGTTGATGATTTTTCAAATGTGACTCACTGAATTTATTTCAAGTTTCTTATACTCTATGAATGGTTAAATCCAAGTCCTTTATAAACATCTAGCCAATTTTATTTACTTTTAAGTAAAAAGTAGGATTTGTTCAAAGGTAATTTGACTAAACGGTCTAGGGAAACGTTAACTCACTTTGGACAAGTATAAATAAATTTTAGTTTTACCTGCAGTAACATAACGCACTGCGTCAGTTAATCGAAAAGAAAAGCTAGTGAAAAAACAGCACAGGGATACAAACAAAGTTATCCAACATACAAAATATTCATTAGATTAGTTGTTCAGTGTGAAATGCAATATTTCTTGTAAACAAGTATTTAGATAAATAAATGTGATTTCTTTCAGAGAGAAAATCAGATCAGCTAAATGGAAGAGAACGAAATCACGAAAAGAGATCACAAAGTTTACCATAAAGAAAATACAAGCTGAGTATGTCACTCGTTGAGTGAAAAATAAGTAATACGCATAAAAATGGAAGTAGAATTTAACAGATCAGTAATGGTAATAATTACACTAATATTGGTTCCAGAAGTAGTAGTAGTGACGGGAAACTGCAACAATTAATGCAAAACTAAAGACAATTATAAATTGCACAATACTTCAGGATATTTACTGGCTTCGGTTGGTGACAGGAAATGTGATACTTCAAAATGGATTTACATAACACGTGTATCTTGGTAGACTGAAAAGGGTGTGGTAATCATAGGGCTTGTAGATAAATCTCTGACTAGATTTTTTAAATCGAATCAAGTAATAAAAAATACGCACCCATTTGTTTGTATTAGCAGTTGGTGTTTAAAACATTTATATAATATCCTTATGCATATATACATATGTCGACTAGTATGAATAAACATTGCTAATCTTGTCATACTGATCAAGAATGAGCTGGTTAGATTTTACAAATGAACTGAACAATCATGTATACAACTGTTAAATTTAAATCATTTCCCATTTACACATACATGTCCCCCTCCCACAGCAGAGACTGTTACGGTAAGTCCTGCTTGGTTACTGTGAATTGGATTTCGTGGTCTGGCATTAGAAGAAACTGGGTTAGAAAGTGAAGCATGAGAACGATGGATGAATGAGCTGGAAAATGATGAGCAGCAATGGAAGGATGTGATGGAGTGTTTGGTGTTAAACTACTTTGCTGGGCAAATTGAACAGCTACTGGAGCAGGTTTTGACTGAGGTTGTATAAAAGGGGAAACGGGACGAGGAGACGAATGAGAACTGTGGTGATGGAAATGTGTATGCTGAACATTTACAGCCATTGGTTTACGCGAGGAGCCACCACGTGCTGGTTGAATGGAACTACTAAGAACCCTGCCAGGGATGACAACAGAATGGTTTGGTGAGGATGAATACGAAGGTTGGTAGGGTGTACTTGACTGATGAGGTATTAGGTTTCTAGATTTACACGTTTGTACAACAGGCGCGTGAGACACTGAACTCGGTACAGGACGGTTATTATTTGTGCATGGAAGGAACGGTGGAGGACCACCATGACTCCTAGAACTATGGTTCAAATGTCCTTGCATTCCTGGATACGGGTAGTGTAACTGCATAGGAGGTGGTGGTGGAGGCGGGGATGGTGTAGAGGATCTAGAAGGCGGGGAAGATGCTGTCGATGGAGGTACAACAGATAGCTGATTGCTGGGTTTTTCATTGATATTCCCAGAAGGTGACCTGGGCGATGAAGAACATTGTTCAGTGCTTGTCTGAGAGCCTCCAGTAGTATAGATGGTAGAAGGATTCGAACTATTGGAAACAAGGACAGAATCCGTTTGGGTTACATTAGAGGTGGATGATACAGGTATGGGATTATCAGAAGACCGTCTCTGCGGAGGGTTCGGTTTGAACTTGAGCGATGAGCCAGTGGTAGTAACGCATTCTGCAGAGCTTTGATTTTCACTGGAAACCCAAGGACCATTAACCAAGGACACACTGACACCAACTGAATCTTCTTGGGGATGAGTAGAGGTAGTATCCTTTGGATGAGATTCACATTGGAGCCTTTGGTAATCTGCTTTAAGTCTGAAAGGACAGATTTTAAAAAGAAATTTTATTGATGAGTACGAAAAATGTTTATAAGTACATAAAGAACAATAAGATTTTATTGGACGTAACACTGACTTTCCCACTAAATTACCTTGCAAACTAACACATCAATTATGGTCATCAAAAAAGTGATATAGTGTGAGTATTGAAGGAAGAAGTAACTCTTGATGATCGGACAGTTAGAAAGTATCACTTGATACCACTTGCGCAAGGTAAGGAGTACAACGGAAGTCATTCAGACAGGGTTTGAAGTGTTAAATGTGATTCTTTCAAAGAAATCTAATAATGGGCCATCACCAGATTAGATCTTCAACATTAATGATTTGTCTAAGCCTATGAATATGCATTCGAACAGATCTCGATCGACGACTGCTTATGCGCTGCTCACCGAGGTAATGCTACAAACCGTTTCAGCAGACTTAGACTCCTATATGTTTTAAAAAATGACAGATTAATCCTCGTAAAAACTTGTTTTTTTATGTAACAAGACATGTAAAAAGCGTACAGCTTCACTATTTCATTTCGTGGCATAATGTAAGTACAGTGAATGAACTTTCAGAATTCAGTCTTCAGCCTAACTCATTTCTTTAATTAGCTTCAATGCTAAGCACATTCAATTTAGAGACATCAAATAACTTAGAAAAGATGATATTTTGATCAACGCAACACACAATTAATGAAAACATTACAGCTTAATATCAAGTGCTAAAATCACTTAAAGTTTTGCACCTTTGTGAGTTAGAATAATTCCAAGACGCATTACAGAGGTCAATAACCTATGCTCACTAGTGTTGGGTTGACAAACCTGAGAACGGAAAGGACCAAGAGAACACTAATCTGTGACGTATTCGACAATTAGTTTGAGTGAAGTAAGTGTGAGTTCCCTATTCTCCAGTGAGTTCTAGCAACTTGAACCACTACACAAACGTATAAATATGAAAAAGACACGACCTAATATAATAACATAACGAGCTAATTTGCCACTACAATCTACAGCGTAGAAAACAGAATATTTGTATATATATAATCAACGTGTGACCTGACGCTGGTTGGAGTTGTCATTTTGCATTCGCAGTGGACGAAAATCAACAAATTAAAAACAGGAATGAAAATATTTCGTGGTGTTACAGAATCAGTAGTAGGTTAAACAGAATGAAAGATATAAAATTAACAAGGTTCAACTATGATAGGAAGATGAGGTGTTCTCACATTAAAACTGCTATGACTAGATTTGAGAAATAACGGCCCAAATTTTGAAAAAAACAATCTTCTGCTGTTTGATAATCTAGAGACGTCCGTGACTCAGACCAGCACTTCATTGACCTGTATTTCTTCGTTCGGCAACCTGAATATCTTCAGCGTCCTACTGCAACTTAGACTAGCACTTGGCATAAAGGCAGGTAGTCACCTTAGTTCTATGGTGTGCCTAAATTACCTCAGTTCACGGGAGTTTCGAACTCTACGAACTATCAAACCTTTAGTTAGTATCCTGTCTAACCATCATTAATTCTACGGTGCGTTCACCATCATCATTATCAACATAGGACCAGGCATTACTGAGTAACGGTCCGAGTTGCCACAGCTCATATCAGTACATCCAGTAAAAAGGCAGAGATGCAAAATGAAGAGAAGAAAATTCAGTCGAAAGAAAGAAAGTACGAAAAGAGAGGAAGGAAGAATTAGAAAATGGTGAGATCCAGTATAGAGCCGCTAAGATGAGGATAATGTGTGCATACGTCAGCGCCACTGACATCCGTTCTGAACCATAACACCTAGTGTCTCCAGCCACTGGTTCCTCTTGTTCTGCACACCCCAACCACCTAGTCTGCATCGCCCCACATGGCTCAAACCAACAGTCAAAGAATCCATACATTGGTGCCATGTTTTAGTCTGGCCATCTCAAGCCTTTTTCCAGCCTGGACCTACATCGGCCAACATTGTATGACGAGGCAATCGGCGGCTAAGTATACGTAATACGTGTCCCAACCATCTCAGTCGATGAAGGTTCATAACCTCGTCAACTGATTTACCTTTACTCCCTCGAACTCTACACCTGACATCTGCGTTACTCATGCGGTGACACCACGGAATACGGTCTATACTACGAAAATACCTCTATGACACACTTGCAAGTGAAGCAGAACATGCTGTTGGTAAGAGGGACCTGACATTACATCAAATAACCAGGTTGCTATCCGGGGAAGAGACCAACTGAGACGAAACCAATGAAAGATAGCGAAGGAAATTTAGTTACCAAAGAGGAAATACAAAGGAAACAATGGGCTGACCACTTCAAAAAACTCTTGAATCGACAACCACCTGCAACTCAACTAGAAATAACACCAGCAACGGCAGAACTACCAGTGAGCACATGCTCTCCGACAAAGGCAGAAGTGAAGTCCTGAACACCGTAAAGTTGCTGAAAGCCGTGAAAGCACCAGGACCAGATGGAATCCCGCCAGAAGCATTGAAAACAAACGCAGAGACAACAGCGGACATGCTCACACCACTATTGCAGAAGGTTTAGAAGGAAGGGAAGGTACTTGCCAGTTGATTGGAAGAAGGGCTACCTCGTCCAATTCCCAAAGAAGGGAGACCTAAGTCTTTGCAAGAACAATTGCTGGCGTGGAATCATGCTCCTGTCCACACCAGGCAAAATATTGTGCTGCGTCATCCTGGAGAGATTAGAAAATACCCTGGATTAAAAAATAAGGCCGGAACAGGTTGGTATATAACGCTAGTCATAGCTCTCTACTCGAACTTACGCAGCTGTCTAGGGCTTATGGAGAATACTCACGTGAACTCACGACAACTAGTGATGTTCGCTAGGGATGCCCATTGTTGCCGCCCCCACTTAACTTCGTCATTGACGGGCTAATGGACATAATCTTAGGCACGTCCGACTTCACAGGGATTGACCCACTCGTCAGACGTCATCTGGTTGAATTGGAGTATGTAGATGATATTGTCCTACTAGATGAAGACGCTGACAAAATCCAGGGTATTCTGAATGCGCTGAGCAGAAATTTGAGTATTTTGGCATGTTTGGCACCTATCAAATGAAAGATGATGCTCCAGAACTGGTCAGCAAGTGCTCCCAATTTAATGAGTGAAGTGTTGGGATGTGTCTGCCACTTTACTTAGACAGTTGCATCAGCCCGAACAGATCGGTTGCTGATGAAATCTCAGCTCGAATACACAAGGCCCGTCCGACATTTGCCAACTTGTGTCACCCGTGGCGTCGACTGCAGAGATATCCGACTATCTATCAAAAGAGTAAACTGCGCTGCAGTTCGTTCTGCCCTGTTATACGGCTGAGACATGGCGGTTGAAAGTAGACATGAAACGATTACATGGTTTCGATTACAGATGTATTCGCAGCACTGCTCAGGTTTGGTGGAATCATCGTAGGAGCAATATTGAGGTCAGGCGAAGGGTAGGCAAGAGAGGCAAATTGATTGATGAGGTTGTGAACCTTAGTCGACTGAGATGGCTTGGAAACGTACTGCGCTTACCTCGACGTTATACTAGGGGAAGCCGAATTAGGTTGTAAGAGAGTTCAGGGTGACACCAGTCCATGAAGTCTCTTGTTGCAGGTTTGAGATGTGTGGGAGAGATGTAGACTGTCTGTTTGGGGTTCCCAAGAAGAAAGAAATCGTTGGTTGAGGACTCGATGACACGGCTTAAAATCAGTCACAATGGCGCAGATGCATTCAATCTTTGACGCCTTCGATAGCTTGAATATTCTCACAAACACCCACCTTCAGATTGTTTATTCTCACAACTTTATCTACTTTGAAGTGACTCTTCTATCTACCTGTTCTTTGTGTGAAGTGTGGTAAATCGAGCCTACGCACCTGTGTGAGGTTCTACGTTGATTTTATCAGTCAGTTGTTCCATCGTCCCCTTAGTCTGACAATTTCATGATCACAGATTAGTCGCTTTTCTAAGGCTACTAATTTGCAATCAATTTAGATGACAATGGATGAAGTAATGATGAATTCGTAACCAGTTACTTCTGAAGGATAAACAAAGAAAAACTTTAACAGCTCCCACGTGGAAGATCACGAAGAGCTCACTTGTCTCCAAAAGACAACAGTGTTGTTTGGATACCATAGTGCTGAAATCGAACATATAAAATCCTGCTATTGAGGTACAGTATTTAGTCAGGAATGACAAGACAGTCCCAACACTTCGTATCAAATACCTGTCAGGTTGAAATAACTGAAAGTTTACAATGTGTGGGCAATAGTTCCTGAGGGACTTCGTTAAGACTGTGAATGGTACTCAATAAAACATGGCATTCTGAGTTTGAAAACGCCTTTTCTACACACCACAAATCTTTATATACAGAAATAAATCGACGTAACTCTGCGCCATAGATTTTAATCCACTGTTTTTAACTTATATTCTTGAAAAGGGAACGAAAGTAACACAAAAGTAACTTAAAAGTGAACATAATGTTTACATGAAAGATCATATAACCCTAGGGTTTATATACGAGGGTAAAAAAAAACAAGAAACTAAATAACTAACTTCTCAAAACTGCACTCAATTTTTTTCCGACTTTCAGTTTCTTCCACAAGTTTTTTCCGAAGTAGTTCGCATTGGCGATTGCAACACAAATTATTGTCTGCATTTACAATCACCTCAGTAGACTTAATGTCGATAGTATTACCACTTGGTTTCATATTTGGGTCATTCTGCTGCAAAGCACGCTCAAGCTCAGCCACTCGTTTCTGCTCGTTAGCCAGTTGGTTACAGAGGCGTTTACGTTCCTTTATTAGAGCAACAGCAGCGAACTTTTGCCTGTTACACAGAACACTTCGCTCCCTCCAACTCAAAATAACGCGTTTCAGATCACGTGTAAGTTTCTTGTTTTGTAATTTCTCATACTCAACCTACAGATTTAGAGGAGAAAAGGAGGTTACCTCAGATTTAAGTCTTTCACGCTCTTTTTCTAACATAACCAAGACATCATCTCCCTGAGCAGCATCTCTTTCGTGCTTACGGCGCTCTTCTTCCAATTCTTCGCATACCTTTGAAAATACGCAAAGACTCCAATCAAAACATACCTTGATATACCTTTTCTCCATCAGAACAAGTTGGTCTCGCATCTTCTTTTGAGCGTATCGCTGTGATGAAATGAGATTTTCTAATTGTGATAGCTGGCTGTCATACAAAGGTTTCAGCGCAGATTCACTATCACACAGAGAAGGTACAAACAACTGACGTGATATGTAGATATAAAATCTAACCTACTGAGTCTCTTTGCAATGCCTGGAAAGGGTCTTCGGAATCCTTATTGCCCTGTTTGTCATTAACTATTCTCCCATACTTCGCCCTCAGATGAGCTGTATTCAAGTGCTCGGCCTGGAAAATAAGACTGAATAGAAGACATACCCTCAAAGAAGCCAGCACTAGATCCCTTGCATCGATTTCTCCTTGTAGGTAGGCAAAAAGTCGGATTAAATCATCTTTATCAAATTCCCCCATCAAATTCTTATATTTTAAGAAATAAGAGAAAATCTTACCTCATTACTATCATCTCGCTCATCAGTCATGGTGAACTCAATCAAATAAAAACTATACCAAACTGTCTCCCAGTCTTAAGGAGAACAATTGATAATCATAATCCGGAAAGTCCAGTGTTACAAAAACTAGCAGAGCCGATCCAGGCGCGTACAACCATTAACGTATGCCTTGAAACGTTATAACAATATACATTGGACACAAATTAGGTTATGCCAAATAACCGGACAAACTTGTTGTAAAAGTATCTCAAAAACTTCTGTCGTTTCAACAACGTAATCTAAGTCAGAAAAAATCTTATATCTTTTTTGGTTTTCACATGAAATGGAAATGTTTTACACAAACTGGTGAAAAAACAGTAAACGATGGTCTCTACATTGGGGATCGACTAATTTTACTGTCACAGCTCAAACAAACTTGAAAAGGCAGGGAGGGTGAACTGACAACGTCCAGTCGTCGTGTGATATTTTTACCAAGGTCCGTAAGACGACGAGAAGTATCATGAGCACAGCCTATCTGAACCATGTACTTCCAAGTGGATTTTTTTAACTGCTGAAGCTGTCAAATAAGAAATTGGCTGCTTCTTCTGGAAGGGGATTTTGCAGTATGCCAATCCTAACTGGGCATGAGATTGCATAAATCCTCCATTTCGCCCTCTGATAAATTTTATCTAAAAGATGACCTCCGGGGTGGTTTTTATTGAACTCCGGAAAGGACCTTATAATTTGGTGTCTGCGGGTGATATAAGATGCTATGGCCGTATCCCCTTCTGGTTCGTCTACATTGCATCGCATGTGCCTTTAAAGCGAATAGATGTTACAAGAAAGTGTCGTACCGTATTCCAATTACTTTTCTCGTAGCCTTCTCTGAGCTCTTCCTCGGATAACAAAGCTTTTCTTCAAGAAAAGGGATATAACTAGCGGTTTCGCTGCTGAGTGAGGAGAGATATCCGGTTCACACTTTGTAATGGAAATATTCCGAGTTAGCCTAAAGTTCCAGAAAGACATTCTAGCATTTCGTATGCTTTGTCTATTGCAGGAAGACAACTCATGGGAACTCCGAGCTTATCATAGAGGGTGGCGCAATAGTCACTGATAATGTTAGATTCGGAGATTTTCTTCCCCTATTTAACAAGTACTGAGACTAGACGTATGTTTGTCTGCCGTCATCATGTCACACTTCTAGTCACCACCAAACATGAGTAGGTTTTTGTACTTCCCACAAACTTTCAAATCACTGGTAGATAACAGTAGTTGATAATTGAGGGTTGCAGGTAAGTCATTTATGAAACTACTAGGCAGTTTTTGATGAAATCTTGGGGCATTCTGGTTATCAGTTGTAATTAATTAGACAAAGGGCCAGCTCCATCTGACTGCAACCGATTGTCGCGAATATTCCAAAATAAACTGAGTAGCCATCCATGTAAGCCTATTGGCTGAGGTTTCTTCCACAGCATATCACGAATAACCCTGAAAAAGGCCCTGCAAAAATAACGTAACCTCATGAGAATTAGCTTTATCCACCCAAAACAGACAATCAAGACATCCAAGAGATTCATGTTGCATTCAGTGCTAGGTAAAACATGCGTTCAGAGTCCGTTGGGACTGGGTTCAAATGGTTGTTGACGGAATGAGAGAAGCTTTTGCTTCTTATGGTCATCAACCTGTAAAAATGTTGAGGGTTAGGAAGGAGTGGTAGTGCCTTTATTTTTCTCCAGGTAATACATGGAGGGTCGAAATGCAAACCTGGTTTTTTGTTAATGCGGAGACAATACTTCCACCTGTTCATCTTATGAAGCTTTCACATACTTATTCAACTACGATATTTCATTATGTGAACATGCAGCATTTATATCTTCTAGTGACAACAGGTGGGGACTGAGATTACCTTCTATGAAGATACGTGCAATTTATATAGAAACTAATTCATATCTGTAGAAATGGCATGTGCCTATATACTCAGGAATAAATATTATCATTATAAAATGTGAAAATGCAATTAGTTCTGGGCAGATCCCAGCCACACTCCAAACTGGTATCCGGTAAGCGTTTACAGGATTCAGACGAAGTAGCCTGGATCACGTCTACAAGAAGAGCATTTCAGGGTTTAACAACTCTTGGGGGATAGAAGTTGTGCCGGATATCCAACCTGCTATGTTCCGGGCTTAGTTTCTGTGTGTATCCTCTAAACTTGGTGATACAGCTAAGATTCAACAAGTGACGGAGTGGGTGTCCAGGCGTGCTTAGAATATTGTGAGTCAGCGTCAAGTCTCCTCTTAACCCTCTGTATTCCAAGGGATACAAATCCAGCGCAACCAGTCGTTCTTCGTGTGTTTTAGATCTAAGTCCTCGACTGCTTCTGGGTGCGTTCTAAACCTGATTCGTCCTTCTGCAGAGAAGGGATGAAGATGGTGGTCTCAAACTCTGGGGCAGGGCGTGTGAAAATGTTGAAAATTTGGTGGTAGCATATACTATCGAATTTTCCGAAAGTTCTTGTAAGAGTTAACTACACCAGGTTTCCGCGAAATGCGTTTCTGTCACAACTGGCAAAGGATCGTAACGCCTGAGGGACTGAAACACCCGAATCCTACTCTGCCAGCGACGCTTCAAGTTCCATGCCGTTGACGGGCATCGTGTTTTTCGGGTTCCTTGGCAAATAATAGCAAAATGGGTCACATGGTACTCACCCCACATCCATTTAAAGAACTGTTTTCTTCAACAATTTCCTTATGGAGTTCGGAACAGGTTCATCAACAAAATTCACCCGTGCAGGGCCCTCCAAATCTCTGACCCTGCAAGGTAAATCTTCCCATCATTATTTAATATTGGTCCTCCAGAGATAACTGACTTGGAAATAGAAGAAAAGTGGACAAGATTGTTGAGTCCATTCTGGTACAAGTCATCTAATTGGCGAAAATTCACTTCAGACTGCATGCTTCAGCTCCAGACGTCAACCCAGCGCGCCAAGAAACACTGTGATTTCAGCAATTTACCTGCGGTAATCCTAGAAATCCCCCAAAGGGAAGAGATGCGCTGGAAAAATGGGGCCATGGAAACTTAGAGTGACCAGTAATGTGGACTTGAAGGGGGGTTTAGATCCAGCTGAGATCTGACTGATTGTGTAAGGTGTAATTGGGCGACTCGGCACCGAAAAAACTTCGAACGATGACGAACTTTCAGGACAATCCGTGCTACACTAAACAGCTTCATTTGTGCTGATGCTGGTGGAGGACAGTCGGTGGACCTTCAGTGAAAGTGATGCTTGCTTCTAATTTCCCTAATGTCCTCTCACGGGACAAATAAAGCTCTCCAAGATGAAGCTCAATGTCTTTTGTGCAGTCTGTAAGCCATGTTTTAGGGTAACCACTCAGCTAGTACAAGAGCCCTCAAACACTTACCTCACCTTTCGTATATTTGACCAGAAAGTTGCACATTCCTCTGAATACGAAGGGTGAAGGGGAAGGAATTAGAGTCCCAGAAGTGTGTTGGTCCAATGAGATTGTGTTACCAGCCGCAAATGCGGTAGCTCCGTCAAATATTTCGGCTGAGAGCATGGGTAAGTGAGTGAACCCAAGACACCAGAACTGCACACCTCAATGCGAATATGGGTTTCCCTGTTCTCAGATGTTGAAAAAGATTTCTTCATACTCCAGTCAGTAAAACAAGATACGCAGGCTGGCTTAAATCATATTTCGGTCGATTTTTGTCTCCTGAACTTACACATGCCCATCTAAACATCATCTTAAAAAAACGTCGGATCAGTCACGCAAAGTCTCTTGTTGGTTATGATCGCGTCCATAGAGCGACATCATTATTGGTCCCCGAATTCACAAGCACACACCATTCATACAGGTACGAGTAAACTTCTGTATAAATTGCGATTTTCTTCGAAGCAGGTAAAATTATTCCTCGTCTATCCAGGCACTGGAAGACATGTATAGCCTGGTAATAGCCTGCAGAATGTCAGCATAACAGGGTGGCAGAGGGGCGTTTGGAAGCATTGTCTTCGCTGTGACAAGCGAAACCAGGGCTCGCACCTGAGCACGGCAAATATTGCCTTGAGAAAAATAAAGCGTGAAGATAAAACTCCTATTCTAACCTTTGTCACTCTTTACCTACTTTTTAACAATAAAAAGGTCCTGAACGAATTCACATGTTTGTTTGCTATCTAGTGTTACTTGATGGGTGCGGAACAACTGATTCCTTAGAGTACTAATAATAGTTTCAGTGGTGAGAGGATTTCATTTCGGGTCTCTAATTATCCGAACACATGCCATTTTTACCGGGGGTAGTTTACTGGCCGGTCCTGAGCCCGGAAAAGGAGGGAAGGTTGGGCATAGGGCTAGCAACCCTACCCAGGAAAATCAATCCAGTCGCCACACTTCAAAACACAGGCGAAAGACAGGAAATAAGATGAACCTTGTTCCCCGCTACAGTCGGGGAGACTAAATGATGCTAGTTGGAGAAAGCCTTCGGGGGAGCCAATTGACCAATGCGTCTCTCTCCCGATGAAGGCAGGAGTAAGCATAGGGACACACAGTGTCCGCACAACGTTTGAACCTGGTGAGGCTGCACAGATTGCGGAAGAAAGTTGAAGATATGGAATGGAAGAGCCAGGAATCTGTGAAAGCAGATGGAATGGAAGGGAACTCCCCAAACTGTCAACCGGGGAGTCAATAATCTACTCCGATATTGTCACCCAGACGACAACCACGAGAACGCTGAGTTTTCCAGTGGCCATCATGATATCCCCAAGGGCACCGAAGACTCTCATGCAGTGGGAACCAATCTCCTCCTTCATGACCATAACAGCAAGACTCGAACCAGAAGGAGGGAAGTCACAACCACACAATGCTACGCTATGCACCTAAAATAATGCGGATCACGAGAAGAAGGAGTTCCATAGACAACTGCAATCGGTACTGCACGGGACCGAAATCCTGATGGCGACATAAAAATCTACTCTAATGGTTAGGGTGACATCGATGCCAAACTGGAAGCGAACAACGCATGAAGAGGACTAGTCGTGGGTCGAGAAGCACTCGGTGGAATGAACGATAATGGATAACCGTTTGCAGACTTTTGGGTATTTAATGACCTGGTGATTGGAGGCAGTGTGTACAAACACAGGGGTATTCACATGGCAGCGAC